TAGAGGTATTCACAGTGCCTTTCTATAATTCTTCATGCTCATAAGCTGTAATAAATGCTAGAAAGGTTTTGGACTTTGTCAGATGCTTTGAAGTTAAGTACTGTGGTTTGATTTTTGTGAAACAAGGTGTTTCGTAGTTGCTTTTCTAAAGTGGCAAAAAGAATCCATGGCCAAGCAGTCAGTAGACGTTTTAATGTTTGGTATAATGTAGGTATTCCCAACCCGTGTAACGAACAACATTCTGTGGTTTCTTCTTACTCTCTGTGGGGTTGCATTTCTTCAGGTTGCCAGGAAGAGTAAAGTGAAGTTTTAACTTGTTCAATATTGTTGCCAGAGGACTAGTAAATATTGGCTATCTAATACTGATAAAGGAACACTAAATATAGCAGCTCTCCTCATCTCTTTGAAGTGTGGTTGAGTGTATGAGAGGTACCTTGTATCTTAATGCCATCTCATTTTTAAGGACGTTTCATTAACGTTGTTGTTACTAATTTTGGCAACAGAGCTACTTTTTGGAAATGCTACATGAGTGAGGTTGCATTAGTCTATACCATGGTGTGTTTGTCATGAACCTTTTCTCTGTCCATAAATAGCAAGTACTTTTCTTATTGGTGCTTGGCACTCACGGCGCTTAATGTGTGCACAAGGCCTAACATTAAAAAGAAATCTTCGTAGACTCCCTGAAACCATATTCTAAATGCAAGCACAAACTACTTTGTCTTTCAGAACATTGTTGCTCTTGCAGAAGCAGGTTGCTTGGACTCCAGAACGTTTTGCACATCGTGTCTTGTAAGTGAGGCTTTGTTTTGTTTTGTTTTGTTTTTTAACCTGTCTTTTACTCAATACTACAATTAAAAAACTCTCTTTCTTTTCTTGTCATGCAGGTAATATGCATAGGTTGTTTTATTTTAGTTGATTTATTTTTTTATGAAAAGGTGACAAGAACAATGCCTTGAGACTGTTGGCCTCTAATCTTAATAAAACAGCTTTGTTATTTCACTCCTCTTTTTGTTATTGTAAAAATAAGATGTGCAGTTATCATCAATGTTCTGCACTGTAACAATTACTATATAATGGAAACCCACAAAATGTGGTGTCCAACGCACGTTCTTGTGCATTGTTGTGCTACAAGGCTACCGCTTTAATCCCCTCTTTTTTAGTTTTTCAGGTGGTACCCTAAACTATGAGCAAAATAAATGTTTTTGCTATGACTGAATTCTTTTTGTTCATGCTCTACTAGGTAAAGAAGCCTTTGAGATCTATGCATTGCCTTGCTTGTGATGCATGTGTAGCCAGATATGATCAGCATTCTCTGTGGTTTGGACAGTGCATAGGTGAGAGTATTTATTTTATCAAATTTGAAAATACCACATATTAAAAGAGTTGCAGAAATAGCATTTATCACCTGAGAGAGAGCAAAACTGATATAAGAATACATAGTTGATATTTAAGGGTTCACTGATAAGTTTGGAGAGCAACTAGTCAGGTGGCACAGAGAAAGGCAACTATGAATGCATGAGATGGAATGGTTGCTTTAAAGTTAGAGACTAAAAAGCCTAGGATTCTTGTGTTTTGCGCAAAGAAGGAGGAGGGGATATGACTGAGACTCCCAACGTCGTTGAAGGTGATAGTTAAAGTGAATGTGATTTGCCATGCATGTAATACTAGAACTAGGAGAGACTCGGTGGGAATAGAAAGTGGTTTTAGAAGAGGTGAAGAAAGAACATCTTTACATGGCAGGTGGTGAAATTTTGGAACTCGCTGCTGTAAGGGTTTGTGGAAGCAGACAGTATCAGAAGGTTCAGGAGGGGAGAAAGCAAAATTTTGGACAACGGGCCCAAAAGCAGATACTAAAAAAATTGGACAAGTAAGCACACTCTGCTACTTGAATGCAGCAGCTGTGGATGAGGAGAATGAATTGTAGAAAGCAACCAGGCTTGTTTGCACCCCCTAATGTTGTCTTTTGTTGCTGCTGGAGACAGTATACAGGAGCAGATGGACCATGGAGCTGGTAGGGGTGTGTGTGTGTTTTTAACAATGTTCCTGTGTTCTTAGAGAAGCTCCTGCTTTTTTCCTTTGTGTCTCATTGCTGGTAACATTCAAGATTCAAAGGCTAGAGCTTTAAATTTATAGTAACATATTTCTAACTTTTCTTTTGCCAGTAAAGTCATTATTTTTGCAATGTTAAATACTCAGCAGCTTTCTTTGCAGTATTTATTTTTTGCAAATTGGTGAGACATATTCCTCTGCATGTTTTCAAAACTTTGAGCAATTCTGGTTGTAATTTAAAGAAAAAGAACCGTGCATCTTCATTTAACAGCTTTTCTGGCAGAAGTCTGTGTCTTCTTATGTATGTTTGCAGTTCTGAAGAACAGAGGTCAAACATTGGAATAGATCACATTTTTCAGTCATACAAGGCAACTGTACTGTGCTTAAGGAGAGCTATGGTTGCATAATCCGTTCTTACCTAACTGAGACAATCAAAGGCATGTTCTGAAAAAGGGACAAATTCTCTTTGGCTTTATAAAGACTAATTCTATTATAGAAATTGGGATGGATAGCAGGAGGAAGTTGAGAAAGAGACCAGCTTTGTCACCCTTCTCTTGAGGGTAGCAGAGGTTATCATGGGAACTGTTTCTGATTCTTCCTATTCCTACTAACTGCAGGGGAAATTCAGATACTGTTAAAATAAAAAACGTTAAGCCATTTTCTTTTCTTTACCCCGATACAGGTGTTGGCAACCATCATTATTACATACTGTTCCTGTTTTTCCTAACTATGACTGGTGTCTGGCTGCTTTGTGGAACTCTTCTGTGTATGTATTCATGAATTTATTTTAATTTAGCTTTCAAGGAGCTACTGTATGTACTCTTTGTTTTTCAATATTTCATTTCCATGAAATGTAACTATATCTGCACAAATGATACCAGATTTCAGCAGTGACGTTGTCTTATAGCTCTTTTAAATGAACGTAACTCGGCATATCTGAGTCTGATCAGACACCTGATTAGTTCTGTATAGAGTAGAAACTTTAAAAATGCATTCTTTAAAGCTGCTGCTCTAGAGGGATGTCATTTTTTTGGTAAATGCAACATCAGAAAGGGTTTTTGTTGGCGATAAAATAGGGTAGCCATGTAGAAGAAAGTCAAGATACCAATTCTAGTTTGAATGCTCTTTCCTGCAATAGAAAATAAATTTGTAAATATATGATTGGAAAGGCCTTATTTTGTTATTTGGAAATATCTATATGGAACTCTTGCAAAAAATTTTTTGTTGTTAACGTAGTGAAAACTTTGAAAAGAGGAGATCTGTACACTCATTAGTAAATCCGAAATGTCACCTTGCAAAATTCAAAAGTTTCCTGGAGAAGAGAGGAGCACCCTTGCAATGTAAACCCGTTTCCTGTGTGTGAATGAATGTGGGGAAAAGTTCTTTATTGTTCTCCTGACTTGGAGGCAAAAGACTTGCTCTGTTTATCAGGTTTTTATAGGTCAAAAGTGTACATGGTAGCCTTTAAATGTCTCTAAGACATTTACAAAATTTGCACAGTCCCATTTACATCTGCCTAATGCTGGTGAAGTATTGCCTTCTTCGCTTTGTTGTGATGTTGTCTTCTTGTGTTGTTGATAAAGTTTGAGATAAGTTGTGAGTACTTAAAACCGTAAGTAAGCATGAAGCAAAATCTCCAGAAGCTTGACAATGAAAGATGATGACTTTAGTGTCACTAATTAGCTTTATAAAAGTGCCTAGCCAGTACCTTAAATGCTCATTAAGTGGATTACGAACACATAATGTCAAGATTATGCAGCAAAAATAGCAAACAGTCAAATATCTAAGTAGGTGTTCGTAAGTGGTAACATGATATATTAAACGTGGTATTTTTAGAGCATGTTGCCATATAATCTCCTGTGCAGATATTCCTGTTCTGTTCTTACATAATCTATATTAAAAATGTAATTAGCTATTTGTGTTTATTATCAGATTGGTCAAACCACTGTGCAACAAGTTATCGTCAAGATGGAGCATGGACTTACTTCACACAGATAGTATATTGTTCTCCATGGGTTCTCTACATATTCACACTAGCCTGCTTCCATACTCTGTGGGCTTCATTGTTGCTAATTATTCAGCTTTATCAGGTAGTGTTTTACTTTAGTTTGTGTTCCTCTCTTAAGGAGCAATCAAATTAAAATATTTCCCTAGATGAACTGCTGCCTTGGGGATCTTGTTCCTGCTTTCCTTATCAAATTAATGGCACATCTAGGTGCATATCTTAAATCCTAGGACAGTCCTCTGAATTTCATTGGTATTTTTGCACTCACCATTTCTACATAAAAGTTGGATCACAGTCTGCAAATCATTCCTATAACTGAATTCTGTCTTTACTGCTCATCAAAAATCCCTAACCTCTGTGTGTGTGTGTGTGTGTGTGTAGAGACACACACACACACGCACGCACATATTGAAAGTGAAGAAAATTACTTGACTAATAAAGCTGATATTGCTGCCTAAAAATGTGGTACAAAAGCTGTACCCATAGCACAATTACTTCTGAACTGAAAATTCTGTAGCAGAGCTCAGCAGTGCATCATTAGCCCATATTAAGTGCCATTGCTACAATAAAGGTGCGTAACCCAGGTTTTATCCTGATAAGGAGTGTCAGATTTTGGGTTGATTGCTTTTGTTGTTTCTCTCAAAGAGAGCTTGGCTAGGCAAACAAGATATCACTTGGCTATGTTAAGCATATTGAGCTAAAGAGTTATTTTACATCTTAGTTTTCTTTTAAAAAAATCCACTATTTGTCTGTGAATTTTAAAGGTATACTGCTAGATTTTTTTTTAATGTTGAATATATTGAGAAAACATCTTGGGAGGGGGAAGGAACTAGTTAGGATATCGACAATTACCTACTGTGTCTTGTACATATGATAATTTGTAAATGGCTTTATGGCTCAAGCCAACATTCAGTAAAGCAACCATGCAGCCATTTATAAAGGCTTGTATGATCATATTGATCAAAAAATACAAAAATGGGAAAGGCGATAGATAAATAAGTGAAAATGTTGAAGCAAAACATAAATCTCATTGTGAAAATCCATGAAAGATTATATGGCATCAAGAAAACATTGAAGTTATGCTTGCATTTCTAACATCTACTTGATTTTTTGGCCAAGCTTTTTAATCTTTTTTAGGGTATGGAATAATTTCTGTGGTAGAAAATAGACAAAACCTGAGGAGAGAGGTGCTTAACTGCTACAGTTCTTTGTATTTCTATAGCTATCTAGACACAATCATCTTCATTGCCTTCTCAGTGGAAGCATTAATATTACAGCTTGCTGGATTCTATTTCAGTCTAAGTGGCATATTTAAAAGCATACTTTTCAGTTTCTGAGTATGGCAGCAGTTACTTGTTTGTTAGATGTAACAAACCACTTCCCTTCCCTCCCATCTAAATAGTATTTTTTGGTGTCACCACAGTTTTAATTTCTGAGATGTTCATGTTTCTTTCAACCATTACTCATTTCTCTTTCCGTAAGATTACATTTCTGGGATTGACCTCGCATGAAAGAATGAACCTCCTGATACAGAACAAGTCATCTAAGCACCCTGTTTCACTCAGGAGAACTCCATACAAGTAAGTATTAATGAAGACTGTTTAAGGATGTGTGTCTTCAGTACTAATTTGTTCTACTACTTTGTAAGTACTAAGAAATATTAGTCTATGGGTGTACTAATCACTCCTGTTATCAGTCATGTGAAGAGGAGGAAGGGACCTTATTTTCCTTGCTGAGGATGCCTTTGACTGTAGAAAACAAAACATTCAGCATAGCAGCTAGCGTGGTTCTTGCTGCATGGCTGTATGCATAGGAAAAACATGCCAGAATCAGTCCATAGTTCTAACTAGCAGATGATAGAGTGGGTGGGGGTGGGGTCCTTTTACTTGTAAATTAAGCCCTGTGTCTGCTCTGTGGGTCCAGAAAGAATTAAGGTATGAATTGACCCCTTTCTGACTTCTCTTGCAGAACTCGAATCAGAGGAGAAATTGGTACTAGAGTTTTTCTGTTGTACTAGAAATACTTGTTTCCTCATCTTTGTGTTAGTAGATGAGACTTTTAGTAAATACTATTTTTAAATGTTTGAGTTAACTTTATTTTCTTTATTAAATGAAATAGAGTTTGAAAGACCCACAAAAAGAATAATGCTGACTAGAGGAGAACTATTATGTGTCTTCTCCAAGAACTGTTGTCTTTGTCAGCGTTGTATCTCAAATGTTGTCTCGTGGTGCATGTGTATTTTTTGTTGCCTGCATTCTTATTTTGTTAGGTTCATTAATGGATATTTCTCTCATTTTCAGTCTTGGATGCTTCCAGAATCTTTCAGACTTTTTTCAGTGCAGGTGCCTTGGTATGTTCAAACCCAATGTAATTGATTGGACCAAACAGTATAATCTCTTTCATCTGTCAAAGGAGAAAAATCTTCATTCTGTGTGAAGAAAAGTATTGCTGAATTTCTGAAACAGCTGAGTTGAAATAAATAAAACTGGGTATTCTTTAAATCTTTACAAATTCTTCTCAAAGTGGCTTGTTTTAATTTTTGTTATTGTTTTAAATAGTAAACCTACATGGCATAAACTGCAGCAGGCTTGGATATGAAACAACTGCTGTATGTTTGTGCATATAGTTGTAGCTGAAACTACAGAAATTTTATGTGATTGAAATGACACTAAGAATGTATTTTTTTTTTTACAAGGTAAGGTTTGTTTTTTTTTTTTTAAAGTTTGAATTTCAAAACATTATTGGTACCCTTTGCTTTGTTTTGCAGATTGTTTAAACAAAGACAGTTAAGGGAAACACTGATACTGAATTATTTTAAAAATCTTAATATTACAACCATGCTGTAATTTTATTGCTTACCTTATATTGTGAAAATGTCTAAGACTTTTTTGTATTTGGAAGTGGTTACATGTAATAGAATTTTTATGCTTTTAAGTATATTTTACAGACTGTTTGAAATACACTCAGGGAATATATGACCCATGAAATAGTTATCAACAGGTAAGCAGAACACCATCAGAAGAAGTCTGACTCTTTGTTTTGCACGTGTATATGCACAGTTAGTTTATGAAGGTGGATAAGCCGATGATCAGAAATTATCAGTGTATATAAGAAAAAAGGAATTATTTCCAGTTACATGGACATAGATATAATAGCTGTTTCTTAGTATGATGTGAGTCATGTTTCCAAGATGTCAGGGCTGCAGCATTGGTGCAGAGCGGCTTACTGGTCAGTGTGTTTGAATAGAAGTCAAAGTAGATAATGATGGAAGTAATAAAGAGAAACAGATCAAGATCATAAAATAAAAGATTATTTAAATATAATGTAGAACTGACAGCATAGGGTGGAATAGTGTAATGAACTAGAATTCCTGCAGCTAAGAAAGCGGAGGGATTTCATTCATCTCGGTGAAATGCATTGATCTATGGCATTGTAGAACATAGAGTGTGAGCAAAACAAAATAACATGAAAGCTGTCTCAGTACTTTATTGTGGCTTGAAAACATAAAATAGCACTTACAACACTGTATTCTAAGAAAATTTCTTTTCTCAGAAATAGCTCCTTGTTAGAGAGAATTTCAGATCCTCATCAGTTATCTCAGACTGTGTTAGCTACTTTACCATAATACAAATAATGTCAAAATGTTGAGAACATCTCTAGGAAATTGGTAGAAATAGCATAATATTCTAAACAAAGGAAAATATGGCCTAAGTCAGAATACTTTGACCTTTGTGCTCATAAGGTTATCTCTGTCTTAATGGTAGAGTATGCTGAGTCTTTACGTTCTAGTCTAAAGTGTGATAAATACTAGTTTAAAAAGCAATGATGTTCCATTAGCGTTGTGTTGTCTTTATGTACTGTAAAATAAGCATAAATCTAATTTTATTGCTATATCTCTTTTAAGCTATTCTAAGAATTTCTTAAGATAAAAGCTTACAAATCTTTCTTGCAAGGTGGGGAACATTTAAAAAAATGCCCTACGTTCTTAGCATTATATCATGTTTTAATGTTTTACTTGACAACTATTATTTGGTGGCATCAACAGCAGTTGAAGTCTGTTGCGTCCATTTCTTCTCATTTGTCCTCTTTCTTTTCCACTTGAGTGAGACCACCAAAACCAATTCCTTTGGGACCAAAATTTTTTGCATAGCAAACTGCAAAAGAAGGAGGGGGGAAAATAGTGTTCTGAATATTTTTTATAGTGGTAAATCATTTTTGCTTTTTAGTTCTTCTTCCAAATTTAAGTTAATGAATAGTAAGAAGGAAATTTGAAATAGTGTCTTTCTCAGGAATATCAATAGATTCTAACAGAGAAGCTGGAATCACACAGTAGAATTAAACAAAAATATCACATCTGGTGATCTTGAAATAAATTTCGGAAAGGTTGTATTTTTAAGATTTAGGTTACAGTTTCATTAAAGTTGCTTTCCTGTTTGCATAGACTAATAGGGGTGAGATTTTAACGGTGATTAAAAGAACTAGAGTGTAGTCCAGCACTATTGGTGGTAGTTTAAGCCATCTTATTACTCTATATTGCTAAAAGAATGCATAGTTAGGTATCACCACTCTGCCTCGGAAGTAGTAATGACCGGCTAAGATATGCTAATTAGATCATTTGCAGTTGTCTTATTGCACCCAATGGCATGGAACTTAGAGAATCATAAAGAACTCTTAAAGTTCAGTCTAGAACAACAACATTTTGCATATTTTCCCTTTAAGCAGTTTCTAAGAGTCAAATCAAATCTATCGATTTTCTTGATATGAGAAGGATATCTGGGTGTATAATTTAGCATGAAAGCAATATGTTCTGTACTACTAATACATGTGAAGCATTTTTAAATTGCAAGAATTCCAGTTAGGACCATGACCTTAAACTGAAAACTTGTGTAAAGGTCTGTGTCTTTGTGGAATTCTTTAGAGTGAGTGAGATTGTACAGGTACAAGTATCTACCCAACAGGTATGGCCAGTGTTTCTGTTAGGAGGTCAGAGGGCAAATTTCAGAGGATGTCGTATTTGTAGAAGAGTTGCAACTTCAAAATTTAGATGTTAAAAGTAGAAGATGCAACTGCAGTTTTGCCATAGCTCTTCTCTTTCTTTGCTTTCAGAAAGTTGTTTAAAAAGGTGAAATGAAGTTTCATGAAATTGTTAGGCATGTAACAAGATAAATCATGATGGCTATACTAGATCTATAAAGAATAGTCTTGGAAAGATTAACTCAGTAACCCAGTTCAGCTCATTACAATTCTTACCTTTACAGTAGAGCTCTCCATCTTTGTCTGTAACATTTGTAGATTCTAAACTCTTTCCACAAATAGCACAGCGGAAGCATGTCTTATGCCATGGCTGAGGAAAGTGAGACAGCTCATTTTATATTACAGAAAATATACAGGTCACAGATAGGAGAAATAAAGAACTATTGCTTTTTATGGTATCAGGAGGTTAAAATTGTTTTGTTTGTCTTAACTTATTCCATTTTTAGTCGTGCAAGATTAGTTTACTGGTGTTTTTGAATTATTATATTGTCCCATCCTAAGATCGTACCTAGTGACTTTCTTATTGATGGAGATCTAGTAAATGACAGCGCTATAGATACTACTCTTTCTAGATGCAGAATCCCTTTAATGTATATGCATTTACCACTACTAGTAAGTGTTTAAAATATAAATATACACAGAGATGTTTGTAGAGCAGCAGAGGTTGTGGCCTGTACAGTAGCCAAGAAGAAGGAGTTGTCCCTCAGATATCATTAAGATGCAAAAAGCTGAAGAATGCATATGCCAAAACACATGATTTTTAACCTGAAAGTCCATATTTTGGGCTCCAGCAATTTACTAATCCATCCTCATTTTTTCTTTGCCACTTCTTCCCATCCTACTGTTGAATAATTCTGAAGTAGAGCCGGTTTTATGTCTAGAGGCTTTGAGCTATGGTATCTGTAAGGTTTCTCCATTTACACAAATGTATGTATCTTTGTTTCAGCTTCCTGATTAAAATAACTTCAGTGGAGATATGTACGTTCTTTGGATGCAAAGTTGTGCCCTAGATTAGTAGGGACCAAAAGCTATTACTGTTCAATAAAGCATCCTTTGAGAAGTAGTTACCTAGCCTTTTTGGCAAGGCCGGGGACTAATGGAGCAGTAAAGACTGAAGTATGTGGAGGGTTTTTTTTGTTTGTGGGTTTTTTTTTTTTGATGGGTTTTGTGTGGGGGTGTTCTGATCCAAATGAGGATTCTGTACATTCACAGCTACTGTTCTGAGGCATCAAGACCATGAGTAAAAATTTAAAGATGATTATAGCTAAATCATCATCACCATTTTAAAAGTTTTTGTTTCTAGAACTATAGTAACTGCTACTTACTTTTCCTCCTCCCATTATCTTCTCTGCAGCATATACTGATTTGCCACAACGGGGACACTTATCCACATCTACTATCTTTTTGGCAAACTTTGAAGGATTAGTTGGTGTAGAAGGACGAGCAGGCTTTGGTGATCCCCTAAAACAAAGTTTTCAATGTTTTAAAAATTGCTTATAATATTATCTTTATTCCAAATTAATTTTTTTTTTATTTCTTACCAAAAAAAAAAAAAAAAGGACTGAGTCTTGGACATCCAAAGGAAAAAAAAAAAAAAGTATTATATGGAATCATGTTGCATGGTTGAAGAGTTGATACTTATATTTCCTGAACTGGGCTGGTTGTAGATCTACTTGGAGCTGGCAGTGGCTACACGCATAGAAGATTCCATTTAATGAAAAGCAAAAGTGAAAAAATCCTTTGTGTTATTGAGAGGCAAAAGGGAGAATGCAAGCAAAAGATCTATGTTCTTTGTAAGTGGCTTGGTGCTGGTACTCAGTAGTGAGCAGATTTTGAAAAGAAAGATAGATTTTGCATGCTGTTCTTTCTCTGGTCACTTCAAAGTTTTGACAGGTAACTGTGGTTCTCAGTTGGCCTACAAAAGACCTGCCCTGTGCCGGGGTCAAAAGAATCAGAAAAATACTGTACTTTATTTCTGGAATATCAGCTGAAGCGTTTGTGTTAGCCTGAAGCCGTTCACAGGATGACTTGAATTACTGGATTGTTGGGCTGCAACAAGTCGGTATGTCTACAGCAGATGATGGTTTCTGATACAGAACTCTCTATCCCTTATGGATGCATATCTTGTAAGAGGTTACAGTTAAATACATTTCCTTAAGTTTTTGTTTCCTACATAGCGTATTTGTTAATTGGCTTCATTATGGTAATGCCAGAAGAAAGGATTGTTGATTTGGGAATGTGCTGAGAATCATTTAAAAAAAATCCTATAAAAATGTACTGTCAGAGATAATTATGTGCAGCTGAGGTCCTTTGAAGCTGGTATACCATTAGAATTTGTTTGTTCAGTCATATTCTCTGTTTTTATAAATGGTATTCAAACCATAGGGAGGATTTAAAACATTATTTTCCCATAAAAAGGAGAGTATGTGGTATTGTGATTGTTTCTCTGACAGTAAAACCTAAGTGTATTTCAGCCTCTGACAGGTTTAAAGGGAAAAAAAATCTCTATAGCACTGCAGTGAATGTGATTTTACCATTGTGCTGCTAATAGCAAATTACAATTGCAGTGAATGTGTAGGTCTGTGGTAACATATAAAGGCTCCTTCTGCAGAATAATTGCCCATTGAAGTAGGAAACAATTTATAAAGAAGATTTAAAGAGACTGAATGTTATTAAAAACTGGTAAAATTACTGTGTCCATTGAAGAAAAGCTTGCAGGAAAGTCTGCTCTGCTTCTTACGCTAGATGTTGTTATGGAAACTGAAATACCTAAAATGCCCTGCTACATTAGCAAGTAGTACTAGAAAAACAAAAGATGCTGTTAGTGGGGTTTAACTCACTGTTGCAGATTCAAGCCTAGATGGTCACCAGTATCAGTGCTGAGACATCCTGCCCCTTGTCCAAAGCCAATACCTTTGGGACCATATTTTCTCCCGTAACAGGTTTTGCAGTAGATTTCAGATTCATGAGCTGCTACTGTGGTACTGTCCAGAGCTTTTCTGCAACCCACTAAAAAGAAGAGAGAGGCACATATAAGCACGTGTGTATTGTGTATTGATTATAGCTCACATTAATTACAATTAATGTTTATTTTGGTTTTTAAAAAATAGGTAAAGAGGTGTGCTAGTGTGTAGTCAGTATAGTATATGAGATGAAACTTTTCTGGGCTGTTGCTAAGGTAATTACGTGTGTGCGTTTGTGTAAGAGCACATCGGAAGTATAACTTTCTGTACTTGCCCTCTTTTAGGATATAGGTGGTAGCTTAATGGCTTTTGTAATGCTTGTTCTCTGTGCAAACATCCCTTTTCTAGTAGAAGTCCTGAATTTGCTCAAAACAGGACCAATGCAGCAGGAAAATTACATATAAATGTAACCTTGTTATGTAATACACTTTTGGTTTGTAATATGCTCAGGCTTATGCTGTTCCACTCTTTTTAATAAGTACAAATAGTAACAGTATCCTGCCAACAGTCTGATACTTTGTTCTTATTCTTAGTGCCAATATACTATATTGTTGATCATCTGTTAAGCCATGAGCAACATTTTCAAGTGTGTATAGTAAACATAATTATTGAAATATCAAAGATAAAGATCGTTGCTTGAAGTTTTAATCCATATGGTAGTGACAAAAAGCCTGTTAAATGCTCTGTAGTAACATAAATGCTAAAAGTGTATAAAATATAAACATATGCTAAATATTTGGTATTATGGTATGAAAGGAACAAAACTCACCCTACTTCTGAACTGGGAGATGATGCAGTTCTGACATTGAAAATTGAGGTTATTTTCAAAAGAATTTGATCAGAAACAAGGTCCCCAGCACTCTATTATATATAATAACATATAAAATAATATAACAACATACAATTTAGTATAGCTATTTTTTTTGGTGGACTTTGAATTTAGTTGACTTTGAAATTTTCATATCACACAGAGGCTTAAGTACACTGTTTTTCTGCAAAGCTCTCTTAACAAACTTAATATGAAACCCAGAGCTCTTCTTTTGCTGCTCTTCAAGTTATTTTCTAACTCTAGAAAAATCTTGAGCTTGTCCAGACAACTTGTCTAGGTTTGTGAAGCCTAAAATGGACTGGAGATCATTATCCTAATCTTCCGAACCTTAAGAACACAATGGGAGTGGGGGTGGGAGGCATTGGCTTTACTAAGCATCTGCACCTTTCAAAACAGTAACTGTGAGTATGGAGTGGCTTTCGTATGTCAACCCACGCTACTTTAACGGGGCATATTTCTAAAAGAGAACTTGATTCTGTCTGGACATAGTAAGTATATTAAGCAGGACGTACTTTTTTTTTTTTTTTAATCTAGTCAAATTTGTTTGGAGTTTAGTGTGAGAGGACTGATGCCTGATGGTCTCAACCCTATTAGATTTCCTCCAGGATGGAAAGAATATGATTTCAGCAGTGCCAAAAACAGAGACCTCTTCTTAGTCATGTTTGTTACAGAGAAATATTACATTGGTTAGCTCACTAGTAAAAATCTTGGAGTTTTTGGATAGAAGGTACCATAGGAGTGCCAAACATTCGTAATGGAGTACAAATTATGTCCTCTATGTCACTAGTTTAAATCTAGCCTCAACCTAAACAAACTTAATGAGTGCTAATAGCTGCTTATTTCTGGTCTCAGTAAGCAAGTATCCATGTTTTCAGAAAGACATGGCACACCTAGAGCTAACAGGGGTATTGGTAAGGCCAATCTCATACTTGATTTTTCTGATCAAGTGGGTGTGGAAGGTAGATCACCCTCCTCCGAGTTCTCTGAGGTAAAAATGGGGTGGTTTCTGTTACTCTGTCCATCTGAAAGCCTATCAGCTTTTAGAGACTGATGTGTTACCGGTCCAGTGTATCTCCTTGCTGCTTGGGCCTGGAAACTCAAACAAAGAATAAAGCCAAGAGTAGTTATGCTCTTCATGTGCCTGGTGACTGAACCTGCCACATGGCTTTGGGAGCTCAGTGTGGGACACCCTCCAGAGAGGATGAAATTTTGAATGCTCTGAGTGCCAGAAGAAGATCAGGGTTTTGCAGTATGCTTAAAAAATTTTACGTTTCCATGCTTTTTACAAATTAGTCCCTGTGTCAAAGGTGACTGCTGGGAGAAAAAAAAAAACAAAACAAAAAGAACTAGCTCTTTCTCCAATTTCCTTTGAACAAATGTGTGTACCCCACAGAGCTCTCTAGTCATGCATGGGTTGCTGGTAGCTTGGAAAGTGAAGTCACTTAGTTCATGTTAGCAACACAGACCTGTGGAATGTGCAGACATTGAAAATCACTGGAAGGTCAAGCTCTAGAAAAGCTAGCTGAGCATGTGATTAGTCCTTTTTCCACGTTTATTTTAACTGTCCTGCTGTGAGTCTTGATCAAAAATTCATTGAAGTTAGAGAATTTAAGATGACATTGGAACCAGTGCAGCTTTATGTTTGTCACTGTACTGTGTGTGGGTGGGGGGGGAAATAATTTACAAGGTTTTTTTTTTTTTTTAGTTAATAGAAATAAAACTAGGGGCTTCTGTAAATGTGTTAACCTGATCACTTTGTGCTACATTCTCTTGTGCTTTGAGATAACTACATTTGCTAAGGTAGTTAAGGGATGATGGAAACTCTAGAAGTAGATAAAGTGTTTCTATTTCTGGCACCTTAGGGATAGAGTATCAATTTGCCACAACAGATGCAGCAAAAGCCCTTGAAGTGCTATTGTTGAAATAACTTTGAGACCTGTCATCTGTGAACAGATACTGTTCACAAGCCAGCACTAAGAAGTTTCAGGTTTATGGCATGAGATCCTGCCAAATGTCCCTCACAGCTATGTTTTAAGCAAAGCCTGACAGGGAAACAAAGTAGGCAAACGGCAGTCTGCACAGGAAGGAAGATTTGCTGGAGAGGACACCTCTCTCATCAGGTGTAGAGTGTGGATACCATGATTTATAGTTTAGGCTGATTCTTACCACGTTAAAGATTTGGTTTGAATTACTTATGATTTTGTGCAAACTGAACATTTTCATCCAAAAATACTGGCACTTTTTGTATGTTTGGTCAAACATGATAAAAACTCAACTAAATTAGTTATCTGTTTTGGTAACTGAGATTGGGTATGGGGGAAGGGATTGCTTTTCTTGTGTTGAAAAATAAATTCCAACAACAGGTTCATTGAGAAGCCATGAACATAACATGTGAAACTGACCCATCCAGTTCAGAGCTGATGATCTGTGTGTGTGTGATGGGAAATGTAAAGCCAATTAACGTGCCTCTCATGTGCCAGCTAGGCTGAGATGCGTCTTTAATTTTTTACCCTAAGCTTGCTTCTATTTGAAGTATTTCTTTGGGATCTAACTGGTAAATAATTTGGCTCAGACTTATGAGTACAAGGGGCAAAATTATTTATATATATATATATATATATAAAATTAATGCTAAGAATGAGGCTTAAACTTACTGCAATATTAGGTATCTGAGAAACCACATGGGAGAGAAATATCATTAAGTATGCCCCAGCAGGGCAGCTTTCTATTTTTATTAGACACTGGAGAAGCTACTTGTTTTGCTCTTTCTTCTGTGTCAATTTCTGGCATTTGATAAAGCACAAGTATGAGTTAAAACTTTTGTCATGATTAGCACATTCATATCTTTCTCACTGTGGTTTCTCTGATGTCTAATATTAATTGTTGTAGGCGGGACATAGAAGTAAAATAATAAGTCTCTAATTTTTGCCAAACGGATTTTTACCCTTCTCTAAGAATTGAAGGATGGTTGTCAATAACATTAAAACTTTTTGAGGGAATTCTTTCTTACCCAGTCTTTTAGGCCTCATTTGCAGGGGACTAGGAAGAAGGCAAAGTGTATCCTTTGTACTGATTCCACGTAGTCTTGTGTTGTCATCTAAACAACTATAATCAGTGCAAAATGCTTCCAAAGGAGAATTCTCACAGCATCCATGAAGAAAGGAGCATGAAAAATTAGATTCAGTGGTTTCTAAGCTCTCATGCTGGTATTCCTACTGCAAAGTTCCTGAATCTCGAGCATTGTCTGCAATGCAAAATAAGCTATTTAACCATTGTCAGTCCTTATCACATTGTTTACTCTCTCTGCAAAGGGCAGATGGAACTGAACTGATATCTTTCTTTCTAATATCTCAAGTGGTAGCTCGTTTATTGAGAAAGCAATAATTCCTGAAAGCTGTCTGCCAAATGTTATATGGGTGCATGGAGTGAGAGAGTTAAGTGAATGGGCATACATGCAGTATAGGGAAGGAGGAGACTCAGGTACTCATAGGGTATTGGTGGGAGATTTTGATGACACATACACAGATAATGTCTTTCAGCTTCCCTATGTGAAATCAATGTTAGAATTCATCTTAAATCAATAATCTCCCATATTATCTTAATAGGACATACTTTCCTCTTATGAGCATTGTTTATTCAGTTCTTCTGGACTTTTTAATTTGAAACAAACCTGTATTACACTACATTGTGGAACAGATGGCAGAGTTTCTTGGAGATCAACCTGGATATTGTGGTTCTGTGGCATTCTGGTGTCCCTAACAAAGCCCATTGAACATATGTCTGAAAAGAGAGAAGCTAGGAGCCTGAGAGACATATTACTCGGGGGTAAAGGGTTAGAAAATAGGACTTGATTATTAAGAGCTGTTACGAAGCAGCAAACTGGCCTTTCAGAAAACTGGCTGCTACTTCTCAAAACAGATATGGTCATTTTCATTCCTTCAGTTACTGAAAGGTTGGGAAACAGGTTTCATCTTTAGTGGATGTTGCCTCTGGGAGTTAACTAATCAGCTTTCCAGAAGAGCATATTCCCTCAAAACTGACTTTCTAACGAAATTCAGTTTAAACAAACTGCAGTTCAGCAAACTAGCTTGGTAAGCTTTTTTTTCCTCCTCCCAGGTTGAAAGCTGTACATGTGACACACATATGTTCAGAATCTTTTCTTCGGCCTCTTATGACTCTTAAGGTTTCTAGAGACTCCTGTACCACAATCAGTCTTATTGTGTTGTACTTAAGTAGGATGATTAAAGTGGGACTGTTTTGCTTTTTGAGCTTTCCTGGACGTAAGATGTATATATCTCATGAAACTGTCCCTGTGTCAAACTTGGCATGATACTAGGTGTTTCCGCTGTATATTGCTTAGATCCTCAATGGCGTTTAAGACCCACTGTAGATGTACAATGAGCAAACACTTTGAATTAAAGAAACTATTAAGCTTCTTTATTGTTTTTCTGCTTGGAAGCAAAGTAGCACAAAAGTAAATTTACTAGCTTTAAAATAAGATTTGTATGAAGCTATGGAGATGTTGTGAAGTTAAAACAGTGTAGCCCAGCTTACTGCAGAGGAAGCATGTCTTGTGGAAACTCCTTCCATTGCACTGAATTTCCTCAGCATGATACACTGTCTTCTCACAGGCACCACATTTGGCTCCACCTCCCCAGTTCGGCATCCTTATATATGAAGTGTAACCTAGAATATCAAATTACAGAAGTTAATCTGATAGCAGAAGTGAATTATTTTAAACAGAACAGCTTAATTTTCCTCTAGCCAGCTGCTACACAGGGTGCAACAATAGCACCCTGCAATGGCTATTGCAGGGTGTCCCCAGGCCAGGATCTGCTTGTGTGAATTGCACCAAAGTACTTGTGGGCTCTCTGGTAGCAGAGAGATGAAACAGTAACTTCAAGACCTCTTCTCCTCTGTGTGACTGGCAGCCCTGAGGAAAGGGGGCTAGAGTCTTCCCTGTTGCTGGGACTGTGCAGCGCAGCAGACTAATCTAGCAGTGAGGGTACTAGCCTGGTGTTGATCAGGCCCCGGTTTCAATCCTGTGGCCTGTGTGACCTTCCTTTGTAAATAAGGATACTCCTTAGTGTTCATTGTCCTGTGATGGTAAATGCATTAGATGAATGTGGAGTGTTTCAATAAAAAGGTGACAGGGTCATTCTGACCTCTTCTGGAGAAGCAGCTCTAGGATATATTTTCCAGTGATAACCGTTTACTCTCAGTCCTGCCCTCTCCTGTATCCCAGCCTTTTCCCCTCGATTTTTTGCTTTCATTTGAAGTTTTTGGTTTTGTGTTGTGACGCAAAATCTAATGGAGGCTTTCAAATGCTTTGAAACTTCAGTGGAATTTTAAAAGCAAAACTGTGAGCAGAATTTGGCATTAATTTTTCTACAGTACAATATTCTAAGACTGTCTGTCAAGAGGCACCCTATTCTACTATTTACAGCTCTCTACAGGAAGTGCTGGTTCATCCTCAGTGACGTGTGTAAAGACAGTTTTCTGTATGAGTATGATGTCATATTATACAATTCACACCTGAAGAATTTCACCTTGTTCTTAAACAAACGTACCATATTTTTTCAGAGGACGCTTTAATAAAAGCAAGTTGTTGCTTTTCTGAATTCCTCGTAAAACAGCCGCAAGATCACTGTGCTACACAACCATTATGAGGTAATAACAGATAATTTCCTAAGGTGCTTAAGGCATGTTTGTCAGGTGTGCTTAAAATATAAACATCTGAGGAAAAAGTGAAGAATAGTGCTTACTATTTCAGTTACTATTAGTTGAAGTGAGTTGCCCAAGGTCACATAAGAGGGTAGTGGAAGAGCCAGGAGCTGAACTGGGGTCACCTGACTGCAGGCTCATTGCCCTTCCTGATGACCATGCTATCATGCAGCTGAAACAACCACAGCGCCAGCAGTTTGCCCTTCTGTTTTCTTGTTGTTTGAGTCATCATTTCTGGAAAGGCTGGAATGTCATCTTGTCATCTGCACATCGTATTATCAGCTTGTTCCAAGCTCCTGGCTCAGACCTTTCTTATCCTTCTTGGAAAGTCAGTCACTTTCTTATTATAGTTCTTTAGAAGCCAGCTTGTTTTGTTTTTACTTGGTTAAGTTCACCATGAGATATCCTGAAGTAAGGAAAGGATTTTGAACACTGAATGAAGCTTACTACCTGAGAATTTTTTTCTAATGTCAGGCGAGAGAGAGGGAAATTTATCACGGTAGTGATGTAATACAGCTTTTATTTTAAATGGGTTGAACTTTAGGCTAAAGTTTACCAGGACTATACATTAGACACTGTAATGTCCCTTATTTGTCATCATCTCAGTGACTTCTGTACCAAATCTGCAGAATTTCAGAAGGAAAGTGAATACTTTCTACATGCCAGCTCTGCAAGCTTAACCTGAAATTGAGCAGAGTTCTTTCTGGTCACTAATGCTGAAAATTGAAATAAAAGCCTTATCTGTTCATAAAAAGGAAAATGGGACAGCAGCTTAGGAGTGTGTGCTCATGCTGAAGCAATAGTACTGAAGATACAGCAACACAGGCATGTTTTAACAATCGGTGTTTGATAACAATCCAGTTATTAGTGTATCCAAACATATCCACGTTAGTACTCTGGTGATGAGTCTATCTTTAAGCCCATTTAATCACACACATATTCACTGTTGTGAGTGTTACCTGCATTAGACAGTATACCTGTCATCCTAATACAAGATAGTATCTCCTTCTCTTTGTGGAGAAGCTTTATGCTTAGCTGAACCAGCTTCCCTAGCTCAGTCCAGTCCTCCGCTGTCATAAAGCAACTGTATCATTAATCTCTCTGACGCTGACGGTTCTCTTGGGAGGCTGTTGAGGAGAAGCTATTCTGACACTTAGGAAAGTGTAATGATGCAGACATGGAAGAAGACTCAGCTTGCCTCTAACTCTATTTATCTGCAATGTAATGAGTGAAAAGCAAAAATCTGATGTGGCTGAAATAAGTAGAAATGAAAATGATTGCATGCAAGAGCAAGCTATAAAGTTGCTCCCTCTTACTCAGTAAACACTTTATTGAAAAGCACTGTTAAAATCTTTCTTAAATTTCTTTTGGAAGAGAGATGAAGGCGCAGGAATAAATCTTTCATTTAGGTAAAATCTTAATGTCTTATTCTGCCATTTTATATTTTCTCCTCTGTGCTTTTTTCAAATATTTCGGTATTGGTGCCATTTTTTCTCTTCTGAAAATAATTAAAGCAATGCTTCAAATCTTTTAAGAGAAGAAAGAGCAATGGGAGATAAAAGTTAGTTTTATGATGCTTTCCTGAAGAGGTTTGCACTCGCCATATTCCCCTTGAAATTGAGAGAAAGCCTGACCAACTTCAACTGAAACAAAATTGGTTCATTAACATTTTTAGTATGTTCCTGCCCTTGGAGTTCAACGGGGTGATTCCTCTGAAGCCAGTATTTTCACTGATTTTTGGTATGGAACTTAAGCCTTAATTCAATACAGCATCTCCTGAACTGTCACAACTATCTGCCCAGGGAAAGTGCTGAGTGTTTCTTGTGAGAGCCTGGTGTGGATTTCCAGTGAAGTCCTGCACCAGCTGGAGTAGCACCCGTAGCTGGCTGCCAGGCAAGCAGCTGGCTTCAAGCTGCAGTGGGTGCAGCACTTCTTCCGCAGTTTTAGGTCCCCTTAAGGATGCGCAAAGTCTCTTTAAGTGTGGCAACAGGGTACTTGTTTAAAACTAGCTCTAATTACATCATTAGCTGAAGGAAAAAAATACTAGCTCTGAAAAAGTCTGATAATGTTTGATAGTGAACATTGTGCTGTTACAGGCAGTGGTTAGAGCTCTTAAAAGAACTATTGCTCCTGAGGCTAATTATAGTAACGTGACTGGGCATGCATACACATTTTCCATGTTTTTTGCCATCACCTGATGGGAAGCTGTAGGAGAAAGAAGTCACAGTAAAAACGTTCTCATGAGGATACTGGCCTAAGAATGGCAACGTATGCCATGATGCCTGCGCTGGCTGGCTCAACAGCTGGCTGAGGTACTAGGACAAGTCCGTGGTCTGTGTTCTTGCTTGGTCACCTCTCCAAAGATTTGGTGATCTGGTGGGAAGTAGAGTGAGACCATTCTATGTATATTACACATGATAGAGGAACTTTTGAATATTAGCAATGCCAAATGCTGGTGTGCATTTATGGTACTGCTAAGCTGGAGAAGCATTCTTGGACTTGCTTCAGTAGTATTCGGCAGCTCATATTGCTTCATTTCAAAATGCAGCTATTAAGTGGAGTAGAATTTATAGGCATCAGATGTGCAGCCAGGGATACGTGCTTCGCTTTATTTAGCACTCATAACACTGCTAGATAGCCTAGCTTCAGAGTAAAGAAGCTTTTGAGGTGTTTGTGCTCTGCACAGCCGCAAGAAAGCGTGTTCTACTGGGCTATTCGTCTTACTATAGAAATTGGGATATAAAGCTGCTATATTCACATAACTGTCATAGAGGTTTGTGTCATTCTAATTAGAGTACTATTGATAAGGATATAGTCCAAAAATATATCCATTGATCTAAATGGGAAGTGGGTGCAGTACTGGCTTTATGTGGTTTCATAGAGTGGTTTTAAAAGAGATAAACATAGTGCTAGGTAGTGCAATGCTGGTGAAAAAGTTGTTAAAAAAATGCTGGTGTTTTTTTTCCTAAACACTAGTTTTTTCATTCTAAATGCTTATGTGTTTGATGGTCTAGAACTCAAGTCGTATGTATAGAAAATGCAGAAATCACTTATTGTTTGGCTGGAAAGGGTATCTCAGAGCACCAAATGTAGTATACGATGACTTTCAAGCGGATAAGCAGAATGGGAAATGTAGGTCTTTATGGTCACTGAATCCTGTGATGGTAGAAATGCTGAACCAGAAGGACTTGGATAAGATGTGCTTTGCATCTCTATTTTTAGTCCTAGCTGACTGTTCAGTCTATAGTCTGTTAAAAGCATGAGAAGATTGTTTCCTTTTGTAATAAGCAATAGTATCAAATTAAATGACTGTCACTATTGAAATGGGAGTTTTGAGACTAGAAATTAGAAATTGTGGCCCCAGTTGAAGTCTGTGGGAGATGTCAATGCAGTCAGGATTTTATTCCTGATATCTAATCACAGCTCTACTGCTGACCTGTCATGTGACTCTCTGACTCGTTCAACCTTCCTTAGTCTTACTCCTTCACCAGCACCCCAGGGATAACACTACATAGCTTCCTTTACAGAGAACTTTCAATAGCTTTAATGGAAGAAATAGAGTGGTATCTGGCTGTGTAAACATAGGTATCTTGCACCATATTCAACATTGTCAGGTATCCTGCCTTATCCTCAGCTGTCACTCCAGAGAGCCTGGATCTCCCATAGGTCTTGCCTTATATTTGGTGGTGCCAGGCAAGTGTCTTGAGATTCAATTGCCCTTGCTGTTATTTTTGATGCCCTAGAATATTTGCCTATAGTGTCTTTTGAAGAAGATTAATACTTCCAGATGTTTCTAGGTTATTTAATGTTTTTTTCCTGTCAGTTTTAGTGTAAAGTGTGGTATTCCTCATTGGCAAAAGCTGTGTTTGACTTAAAAATAATTTTAACACACTCCAATTCTGTTTTAAAGTATCAATTAAATACTGCTATGGTTTCTTTCTC